ACCTCGGGGACAGGTGCCAACGCTGAAGGGGACACCTGACTTCTCATCCAGATCAGCCCCTGGCCACTGCAGGGCTGGGCAGGGAGCCCTTCTGAAACGCAGGAGCGAGGCCACCACCACGCAGAGACCTGGCCTCCCTGAGGAAGAGCCAAGCCCCTGTGTGGCCACTGAACACAAGTCGCTGTGGCCAGCTCTGTATCAGACATGCTCTCGGGGCAGGAGGGGCAGGTGTGCCAGTGCCTAGGGACACGCCCGCCCCAGCGGAGTCCTGACTGGGGACGAGTGAGTGACACAGGAGACAAACCCGTTCAGGGCGCATGGTGCTATGAGCAGCCTAGCCAGGCAGAGCCTCATGGCAGCCAGGACAGAAGCTTCCAGCATGGTGGGGAGGGCAAGCCCAGAGGTGGACCCACCCGGCGGCAGTTAGGGACGCGACGCCGCCAGCCCCACGAGGTCACAGGAAACACCAGCACAGGGCCCTCCACGCGAGGCCTGAGGTGGGGCTGCGTGTAGCATGTCCTTGAGGCTGGGGTGGCAGGGCTGCTACACGGAGGGGTGAGGGCTGCGATCGGTGAGGAGGGCCAGGACAGGCCCTGGGCAGGGACGTGGTCTTTCTTCCCAGCCTAGTGGGAAGGCAGGGGAGGTCTCGGCAGGAAAACGATGATGTGGCACAGAGGGTGACCCACGGGGAGGCCACCGCAGAACCCTATGGCAGGTACGTGGCGGCAGCGAGGACAGGGCGCCGTAGACACCTGAGGTGATTTTGCAGGTAGGGACAGATTTCGTGGGGCCTGGCTGTGGCGGGCGATGACAGGCACCTCGAGGACACATGGAGTGACTGTCTCTGTCATTGCTATGCCGGGACAGGAGGCCCGAGGTCTCCAGTGGAAAGGAAGCCACGCACCCACGCCTCCCTAGGGCCCTCTGCCGGGCAGGCGACTGCTTCCCCATCTGCCCCCTTCCTCCCGTCCTCACCCTCACCAGACGGGGGCCCACACCACGAGCCCACCCAGTCAGGACCCCTGCAGCAGAGGGTGGGTCCAGCTGCTCCCTGAGACGGCCTTGCTCCAGAAGAGCCTGCCCCAGGTCTTCAGGCAGTGCGGACACCAGCCGCCAGGGCCAACTTGAACAAGGACTGAGAGGGGGCCTGGTTTGCTGGGTCCTTGCAACCTGGGTACCATGCTGCCCCTTCTGGAGGACAGATTGCTGCTCTAGGAGCAGACTGGACTGCAGGTTCCCTGCAAATACTGAAAACACTGCTTGAGGCCAGCAGGTGGCGTAGTAGGTAAAGTGCTGGGCCCCATGTGGTTGACTGCGGTTCAAGTTCTGGAGCCGGTAGCTGGAAACTCATGCCAGATGCATGTGTCCAAAATCCCACGAGAAGAAGGGATTGCGGCGTGGCCACCGTTCTTAGGGGTGATTTCTCACTTTCTGTCTCTGTTTCTCTTGTGAGTGTACATGCCCTATAGCAAAAACCTCTCAAAGAAAAGAAAATACTACTTGAAAACACATGCCCAGGCGGGCAGCGATTTTAGTCACCTGCACCCTCCCTCTGGCTAAAAAGAGGAGTGCTGAGTGAAGGTCCCCAGGAGCCCCCGGGTGAGCCCTCTCCTCCCTCTGCGTCCCTGGGGAGGAGAGGGGAGGTGTCTCCCAGGAGAGAAGACCGCGGCTCTCAGCACGGGCTCCTGGTCACTGCCCCCACACCATCAAGCAGCCCTCGTGGCCACACTGTCCTGGGCACCTGGACATAGCAGCGAACCATCTCCCGCACGGGCCGCTCACGCAGAGCGGCCTGGACAGTGACACCAGAGCAGGCCACACTCAGAGCTACGGCGTGACGGAAGTGCGTGAGGGCCCAGGCTCCACTGGAGAGGTGGAGCTGAAACCAACTCGTGGGGGTAGGTTCTGGGAAAGCGATGGAAGGGCCTGGACCCGCGCCAGCGTTCAGATCCAGCCCGGCAGGCTGGCCCTGCACCTCTTATGCCCTTTGGTCCCGGGAGAATAGGAAGTCCTTGAGGTCCATGGGTAGGTGGGCTGCTCTTGGCGCTTGGCCTATCAGGGTTGTGGCTGAGCCCGCAGCTCGAGGACGGTAAGGAGGTCTGCCCCCACCGTGGCTGGGCCTATCCCACCGTCACGGGGAGCTATGTAAAAATAGGGCTCCAATACATTTCCTGCTTTTTGTTCATTGCTAGAGGGCACTTGCACCTGCCAGGAAGAAGCAGAGAGGGGAGGCAGCCCCGTGGGGCATGGTCGCTCCACAATCCCTCTCCCATCCCCGTGCTGGGCACATGCACCCAGGCCCTGAGCTGTTTCATGCCACTGGGCCAGGGTTCCAAGCCCAGGTGGCCCCCAGTGCCTGTCTCCTGCAACTCCAGGCTGAGGCCGACCCACGTTCCCTGCTGTGAAGAGAAGGGTGCCGAGGGCCAGCTCGTGGCCATGGGGCCCGGCACCGGCCCTGTGCCGCAGAGCCCTGACCTGGCCGGGCCTTACCTCAGCTGGACGAGAAAGCCGGCTCTGGCGTGAATGGTCCACTCGCAGTGCGCGTTCAGCGGGTAGCTCTCCAGCAAGATCTGACCCTTCGGGGCGCGCAGCACCTGGCCGCAGCCTAGAAGGAGGGCAGAGGTCAACAGGGGATGGGCGAGGCGTCCACCGCCTTTACCCTCAGCCACGCCCCTAGGAGCAGAGCCGACAGGGACGAGGGGAGGGGAAGCTGTCGCAGAGCTGGCTGGCCAAGCACTCTGCGCCGAGCTCACTTGGCCGCCCTGGTCCATGAGGGGTCTGCTTCGCCTCGGCGCCGAGCCAGCGAACAGCCGGGGAGCTGGGAGCCGGGTGAAAGCCCGCTCAGCTCCTCCGGGACCGAGTGGAGACTCGCACCTGTGCCCAGACGCGAGGTTTGCTCCATCACCCCACCTCTGCAGACCTGAGTCCCGCTGCCTTGCCCCGACAGGCCCAGGGGGCACTGCCCATGGCTCTGTCCACTGCACCCCGTCCGGGAGAAAGCGTGTGCAGCGGGAGTCTGGCGCAGTGGAGCAGGACGCAGGGCTCTGACATGGACTCGGCAGTCTGCACACATGGGGACAGGCGTGTGCCTGTCACTCAGCGGGCTGGGGCTGGGGGGGCCCCTGCATGGGGACCCTGTGGGGTGCGACTCTGTGTCTGCCTCCCTCCCCTCTCTGTCATGGAAGGAACAGACTCCTATGAATCTCTCCCTCAGTAAAAGCTTTGCGGTTGACAGTTGCCTCTGAGAGCTCTCCCGTGATGGCACCAGGAAGACTCTGGAGGGGAGGTTCTCCAGCCAGTCAGCCTGGGGGCTCCCGGTTCTCCCAGCTTCGGCCTCCAAACGGGCGTGGCTCCACGGAGGG